ATATATATTGACCAAATGGAAGCATAATGAGTCCCCGGCGTGCTGCATGTGATTCTCAGATGAGATGAAAGCGAGACGCAGCCATTAATGGGCTTTCATCCCAGAGCTCGCGGAGGTCTAGCAGACAAATTGCAACAAACTTCTGGAAGAACAAACATGGTGAATCTCATGTAACCTGTCCAGAGCACGTCTGACTCATGTTTCAACCCATTATCAAAAGAAAAAAGCTTTCAAGGACATTGATATATCGTGCTTAAAGAAGATGAAATCTATATTAAAGGTGTTTTTTTCTTCTTTTTTTGCATTGTGACATTTTTCATGACAATTTACATGACTCTTTTTTTTTACCTATTACTGTAATAAATATTTAATTAATAATATTGAATAAACCTTCCTATTTAATAAACCTAAATAGGTATTTTAATAAAGACAGATAGATAGATAGATAGATATGTAATCATTTTTATATTTAAAAAAATACATTTTTTTTTTAATTATTATTAAAGCTATAATAATGTATTAAATATAATTATTTATTAAATAATAATAATATATAAATATATTTGTTATTTAATATAACTTAATGTCTTGTATTTAATATCTTTTATATGTATTATATTATATGAATATATTAATATATAAAACATGAATCATAAAAATATATTTTTTTTAATTCTGTAAAAAAAAAACGTTCGTAATGCTTCAGAGCTGGTTGGTTGGTTCAAGGCTTAAAAGTCTTTATTGAGGAATACTTATTGAAGAATGCCTGTGGAGAAAATGAATGTACAACATCCCTCAGAAATCCCTCAAGGCTGGTCGTTAAAATGAAGACATAATGCACGAAAAAAATTTAATGACCTTAAAACCAAACACCCTTTTCTTTATGCAAAGTTTACTTTCAAATGATTTAGTTGTGAGACGTGACCTACAGTGGGTACGGAAAGTATTCAGACCCCCTTAAATTTTTCACTCTTTGTTATATTGCAGCCATTTGCTAAAATCATTTAAGTTAATTTTTTTTCCTCATTAATGTACACACAGCACCCCATATTGACAGAAAAACACAGAATTGTTGACATTTTTGCAGATTTATTAAAAAAGAAAAACAGAAATATCACATGGTCCTAAGTATTCAGACACTTTGCTCAGTATTTAGTAGAAGCACCCTCTTGATCTAATACAGCCATGAGTCTTATTGGGAAAGATGCAACAAGTTTTTCACACATGGATTTGGGGATCCTCTGCCATTCCCTCTTGCAGATCCACTCCAGTTCTGTCAGGTTGGATGGTAAACGTTGGTGGACAGCCATTTTTAGGTCTCTCCAGAGATGCTCAATTGGGTTTAAGTCAGGGCTCTGGCTGGGCCATTCAAGAACAGTCACAGAGTTGTTGTGAAGCCACTCCTTCGTTATTTTAGCTGTGTGCTTAGGGTCATTGTCTTGTTGGAAGGTAAACCTTCAGCCCAGTCTGAGGTCCTGAGCACTCTGGAGAAGGTTTTCATCCAGGATATCCCTGTACTTGACCGCATTCATCTTTCCCTCGATTGCAACCACTCGTCCTGTCCCTGCAGCTGAAAAACACCCCCACAGCATGATGCTGCCACCACCATGCTTCACTGTTGGGACTGTATTGGACAGGTGCCTGGAGATAGACAGACAGACAGACAGACAGAACACAGATAGACAGACAGACAGACAGACAGATAGACAGATAGATAGATAGATAGATATGTAATCATTTTTATATTTAAAAAAATACATTTTTTTTTTAATTATTATTAAAGCTATAATAATGTATTAAATATAATTATTTATTAAATAATAATAATATATAAATATATTTGTTATTTAATATAACTTAATGTCTTGTATTTAATATCTTTTATATGTATTATATTATATGAATATATTAATATATAAAACATGAATCATAAAAATATATTTTTTTTAATTCTGTAAAAAAAAAACGTTCGTAATGCTTCAGAGCTGGTTGGTTGGTTCAAGGCTTAAAAGTCTTTATTGAGGAATACTTATTGAAGAATGCCTGTGGAGAAAATGAATGTACAACATCCCTCAGAAATCCCTCAAGGCTGGTCGTTAAAATGAAGACATAATGCACGAAAAAAATTTAATGACCTTAAAACCAAACACCCTTTTCTTTATGCAAAGTTTACTTTCAAATGATTTAGTTGTGAGACGTCATGGCTGTATTAGATCAAAAGGGTGCTTCTACTAAGTACTGAGCAAAGGGTCTGAATACTTAGGACTATGTGATATTTCAGTTTTTCTTTTTAATAAATCTGCAAAAATGTCAACAATTCTGTGTTTTTCTGTCAATATGGGGTGCTGTGTGTACATTAATGAGGAAAAAAAATTAACTTAAATGATTTTAGCAAATGGCTGCAATATAACAAAGAGTGAAAAATTTAAGGGGGTCTGAATACTTTCCGTACCCACTGTACATGCTTTTGTGGCATTCACCCACGAACATCATGACAGCAAGCCGACAGGACCTGTGCTGTAAATGAATGAAGTGAGGGTTTTTCTTTTTTACAGAACACTCACTGATCGATGCCGAGCCAATTATTCCTGCAACGAACATCAGGAAACACTGATCCGATGCAGCGACAAATACACATCACTGAAGATAATTATTTACACAACACACAGAAAAGAGACAAAAGAGACTTTTATAGTAAAAAAAAAAAAAACACTGACTGAGACTGTAACCAGTGTTGTTTTAGTATAATTGAGATACTATTATAATTTATTATTATTATTTTGAATTAGCTTTTATTTTTAGATGTTCCGTTTTCAGTGTTGGGCTAGTTCCTCAAAAAATTTAACATTATTCATTACTAGTTCAAAAGTAACTCCTTTCAAAAGTAATATTATGACATTATTTATTACTCCCGGCCAACAGTAATTAATTACACTTTCTCCCTGCAAAACGAAAATAATGGCTGGATTTCCAGCCGCTATATGATGTGGGCTTCTCTCTTCATCCTCCGATGAAACTAGCTTGCTGCATTGGTGACGTCACGTGCGTACATGCATGACAACGATTATGAAAATTGATAGGGATGATTGAATTTTAAATCATTAGTGACTGTGACAAAAATGTAACACTAGCCATTTTTGGGGGATGGTAACTGTAATATTATTACTGAATTGTATTAGTAATTAGTTACCAGGGAAAGTAATATTATTACTGTAATGCGTTAGTTACTGTCTATAACTGATAGTTTTAGTTAGATTTTACATAACCTTGGCTACTAGCTGAAATACAATTAGAAATCAGGTTCACATTACGAAACACACAAAGTTTAAAACACACAAGGAAACCTTTTTGGAAACAATATTTTGTGCACATTTAACCTCTTTCTTACAGTCTTTCTTACAGTGTTTCCGGTATCATCAATGCATGTCTTTTCCGTTTTTAGTTAAAGTTTAAGTAATTTTTTAAGTATATCTATATAGTTTTCAGGAAGTTTTATTTCAGTTTGAGTTATTTTAGTAGAAATGAGATGCTGCTTGTATCATCAGTGCATGTATTTTCATGACAAACGAAGTGTATTAAGTAAAGCGGTGCTCTGCTGGATCAGGCTGAAGGTCGGTGAGGAGCGAGTGCTTCAAAATCCTGCAGGTTTAAAGCGGTTCAGATCTGCTGACCGTTTGACTTCAGTCTATAGTTCATGAACACACTCCTGGATTCTTTCTCAGTGCGTAGAGGAGCATTAAAACATGAAGACTGCTGGAGAACAGCGTCTGCATCGCTCGGTGCCTCATTTTGTTGTAACCGGCACCTGTAGAGTAAAAGACTCCTCTAGTTTAACAGCGTGTGCTGCAGTCGATGTATATACACACACACATTTACATTTCTGTCATGACAACTCTCGGAGGGATTGGCATGGTAATGTACATGACAATGTTAATGTATTTGGTCTTGGCGGAATAGATCTGCTACACTTCTGCTGCGGCAGAGCAAGTACCGAGACATGCTACTACCAATACATCAACAACATGCTGCTGTAAGCATGTAAGAAATACTGCTGCTGCACATATAACACATGAATAACCCCTATAGCATACATGAATCACCTCGTAGCAGATTTATACAGGTGGAGCTGGGGAAGAGGAAGGTTTTCTGAAGTACGCTGCAACTGCTACAGCAAACAAAAGCCAGGTATTTGAATATTGAGCAGCGAGCTCATTGGCTACCGATACAGGAGAGAACCAATCAGCTGCCATGTGACAATGATGTCACCAGGTCAGATTGAGCTAGACCTATCGGACTGCGCCATCTGTATTTATTCATTTAGCAGATGCTTTTATCCAAAGTGACTTACAAGTGGGGAACACACACAAACACACTTTTTTTAAAGAACAAAAACTAATAAAAATGACAAACACACACACAAAAAATTTAAACATTAGTTAAAAAATTACAGAAACTTACACTTTTTTTATAAAAATATTTTTTTAAAACTAAACCGAAATAATTATTTTATTTCAGCTTGACAAGGCAAAATATCTCATTTTTATTTAGTTAAACTTTGTACTAAAATAACTAAACTGAAATAAAAATTAAAACTATTTAGACATATTAAACAACTTAATATATGTGCATATATGTACAACTTAAATACTTAACATTTAACTGAAATTAAATAATAATTAATAACAATACATATCTCAAAAAAGTCACATGTTTTTTCTTACGCTCATGTAGTATTAAATATAGCTGTTACTTCAGGTTGGTCTCAAGTGAGCGTCTCAGGATGCTGACTGTTTCTATGGCAACCAGAGCTTCTAATGACACCTGCAGTGATGAGATGACTTTGCGAATTGGTGATTGGCTCTTTTATTTAGGAGGAGGGACCAGGGTTACTATAGTTTTAAAAAATGTTACTTTAAATAAAGTAAACTTTAACTGAAATTAAATATTTAAAAATAAACTTTTCATTAAAAAAATATGAAAAACGTAAACTGAAATAAAATTAAAAACTTTTTTATAAAAACAAAAAATAAACTGAAACAAAGTAAAATTTGTAAGAAATGATAGAAATGTACTTGATGTATTAAAATAACTAAAACTGAAATAAAAATGAA